TTGATCCTTTATCATCATACAGTGACCTTCCTTATCTCTCCTAACATTTTGACTGAAGGTCTATTTTGTCTATTCTGAGTATAGTTACCCCTTCAGTTACCATTTGCATGAAATATTTTTTTCCATCCTTTCACTTTCAGCCTATGTGTGTCCTGAAAACTAAAGTGAGTCTCTTGTAGGCAGCATATTGATGGACCTTGTTTTTTAATCCATTCAGCCCCCATTTGTCTTTTGATTTAGAGAATTTAATCCATTTAAATTTAAAGTAATTATTGATAAGTAAAACTTACTGTTGCCATTTTTAAAACTGTTTTCTGAATGTTACATAGCTCTTTTGTTCCTTTCTTCCTATCTTCCTTGGTGATTTGATGATTTTTATGTTGTGGTATGCTTTGATACCTTTATCTTTTGTGTATCTACTGCAGGTTTGTGACTTGATGAAGGGGTGTTGAAGTTCATCAAATGCTTTTCCTGTATCTATTGGAATGATTATGTAGCTTTTTTACCTTATTCTGTTGATATAGTTTATTACATTAATTGATTTTCAGATGTTAGACCAGCTTTGCATTCCTGGGATAAACTCCACTTAGTCATGGTGTATAATACTTTTTATACATTGCTGGATTTGGTTTTTTTTTTTTTAAGATTTTATTTATTTATTTTTTTTCCCCTTAAAGCCCCAGTAGGTAGTTGTATGTCATAGCTGCACATCCTTCTAGTTGCTGTATGTGGGACGCAGCCTCAGCGTGGCCGGAGAAGCGGTGCGTTGGTGCGCGCCCGGGATGCGAACCCGGGCCGCCAGCAGCGGAGCGCGCGCACTTAACCGCTAGGCCATGGGGCCGGCCCCTGCTGGATTTGGTTTGATAGAATTTTGTTTAGGATTTTTCTATGTATAGTCATAAGAAATATTGGTCTATTTTTTTTTTTTCTTGTGATTATCTTTGTCTGGTGTTGACATCAGGATAATACTAGCCTAATTGAATGAGTTGGGAAGTGTTCTATTTTTTCAAAGAGTTTCTGAAAAATTGGTATTAATTCTTTTTTAAATGTTTGGTAGAATCCACTAGTGAAGCCATCTGGAACTGGGCTCTTCTTTGTTAGCAGTTTTTTAAATTACTAATTCAGTTTCTTTATTTGTTATAGGTCTAGTCAATATTTTCTATTTCTTCTTGAGTCAATTTTTGATAGTTTGTTTCTTTCTAGGAATTTGCCTATTTTATCTAAGTTAACTAATTTATTGGCATGCAGTTGTTCATGGTATTCCCTTGTAATTCTCTTTATTTTTAAATGAGTCTTTTTTTACATGAAATATTTCCAACTCACAGAAAAGAATGAGGGAGAATAAAGAAATCAACTGCCAGTAAACAAATTTAATATTTTGCTAGATGGCTATAGAATTATTAAAGAAATAAGATATAGAAGGAGAAATTTAAAGAAATAAAGTATTCAGTATTAATTGAAGCCTACTTTACATGCTCCACAATCTAATTCCTTTTCTTTCCAAAAGTAGCTTGAATCTTGATGTTGACATGAGTCCTTACCACCCATGTTTTTATATTTTATATCTTTATATACAGAAAAATACACAGGATTATTGTTTTAAAATGTTACTTGAATTATGTAAGCTTCATTCTACACTTTTCTTCCCCTTAGCATTTTATTTGAGATTCTTTTACATTGACACATTAGATTTAGTTCATTTATATAAACTGCTATGTTTAAACATTCTCCAAATGAAAGGCACACAGGTTGTTTTCAATGTTTGCTTTGTAAATAACTCCTTAGTGTTAATTCTTGCACTTGATCGCCTGTGTGCATGGGTGTTTCTCAAGGATGTGTACCCAAAGAGCTGAGTTGCTGAGTCACAGAGTTTGTATCTTAAACTTGACTAGATATTGTAAAATTGTTCAATAACTCTTGGGCTTTTGGATGTGCTCAAGTGGCTACAGAAGTCCCAGCCTAGATAGGCAGTGTTTCATAATGAGTCATTGTGTGTGGCCTGGTCAGTGGGGTTCATTTAGGATGCCCTAGTCTTGTGGCCCAGGCTCTGGTTGGAGTTAACCCAGTAAAAGCGGTACAGTGGATGCCATTACCCATCTGTATGAGTAGCTGCTTGGAAAAAGGTGTGAGATTGAGGGGACTTGGAAGAAACTAGTTGGAGTGACCCTCACGACTGCCGTGAATTAAGTCCGCTATAATCAACTGAATTTGTAACGTATCTGAACAAAGACGGAGAGTTGTATGTACCGAGTCTACAGAAACCGTCTGGGTTCTGGGGTGTCAGAAGCTTGGTTTCAAATCCATGCTCTGCTTCCTTTGTAATTTCGAGCGAGTCATCTCCCCCTCTGTCTTCAGTTGCCATATCTGTAAAATGGGGATAATGAGTTCCTAGCTCATAGACTTATGGTTAAATGAGGTTATAGATAGAAAGTGTTTGGCCCAGGGCCTGGCATCTGGCAGCATGTAATACATTTGCTGCTATTACTAGGATCTTGTCTCCAGTTGCATTCCCGTTCCTTGGCACTGTGTATCAGGAGCGAGGGGAAAGGTAAGTAGCATTTGGTCGTAGCACCTTTTTTTTGGTCTCCCTATTTTAACTTCCGTGTATCTACTAAATGTGATGTCCTGGTCAACTTTCCAAGTTGCTTAACAGACGTAATTTAAGTAAAGAAAATAAGGCTACTTGTTTAAACAGATTTGCAGACCTTTTCTAGCGCATAAAGAAGTATTGCAACAAAACCACTGTAAGCTCACTCTTTGTCTCGAGAACTTCGTGTGCAGACAGCTTTGTTTGCCATTCTGCTTAGTGTGACTTGGCCTCCATCCAGCTGTGGATGAGAAAACACAGCAAAGCTCTCAAATGCCTATATGAGTCTTTGATGGGAAACACTTTAAATTCTTAACTATCAACCTACCCCCCCCCCACCTCCCCCCAATCCAACTTCAGCTTTGGACAGCACAAGACCTCCTTTGGGTCTGGATGCTTCTGAGTCTCCTGTGCACACAGCACAGCAGGAGTGAGCACACTGGAGTTACCACCTGCAGGGCCATCGTCAGCGGTTTCCTTCTCCTGGAATGATCTGTCGCACAATCATATCCAAGAGGGGCATTCAAAAAGCTAATGTGTCCTTGTTTTTTGTCTAATTATAAAATGTGGGCTTAATTTTAATAACTTGTCACAAAAATTAGCAGAAAAGATAGCCAGGATGTCAAGATGAGGTTTGTTTCACAAAGTGAATATCCATCAGAAATGGAAGATAAGGCTGGCCCCGTGGCTTAGCGGTCAAGTGCGCGCTCCGATGCTGGCGGCCCGGGTTCGGATCCTGGGCTCCCACGGACGCACCGGTGCTCTGGCCATGCTGAGGCCGCGTCCCACATGCAGCAACTAGAAGGATGTGCAGCTATGACATACAACTATCTACTGGGGCTTTGGGGGGAAAAAATGAATAAAATTATAAAAAAAATGGAAGATAAGCTATTTGTGGAAGGAGGGTGAACGAATGGTCATTAGTTGACATGGGAAGTCTTCCAGAGGATTGTGACACATAAAACTGTTGGTGACATGTAGTTTACATCTGTCCTGAAGTGGGTCTTCTCCGGGTTCCATGCTGGTGTTTTACTGTAATGTGGACTAGGTATCATTCATTTCCAGCCATCACTAAGTGTGTGGGTGTGTTTGCATTTACAAATGCTTTGGCATTTACCTCGATTCTACAGAAAATGTGCCGTACAGGATTATCAAGATGCTACATGCTGATGGGTCTAATATCTGAAAAGTTTTTGAAGGCCCTGTATTACCCAAAGAAAACAATTATCTACAGAAGATTCTTAAGCCCTTCGAGGACTGGGATCCCTGAATGCTCAGCTGTCTCCTACCTTTCCAGACTTGCTCAGCACTTCTTGTGTGGATTCTGTCCTACAGCCCAACTCTAGCATCTAGCCTGTGGCCTGGCACAGAGCAGGGCCTCAAGCAAAATCTCTTAACTCTGACCTCGCCCAAGCGATTTTCTCTGCTTGGAACGTCCTTTCCATGTCCAAACACCATCTCTTTCATGTACCTTCCCTAAAGCTCCCAGGTGTCCCTTGCTTGCTCCTCGGCATGCCTGGGGCATTTTCTATGCTCCCCTTGCCCCCCACCTCATTTTCTCTCTCTTGAGTAGTTAATGTCCACATTTCCTCTCCCGGAGGGCTGGATCTTGGCTGGTAACATGATACAAAAGTTTTAGCCCCTTGGAAGCATCATCTACTTACTGGTCTAATGTCATGGATGATGAAAATGATGTTGTATTTAGATCATCAACGATCTTTCTTTTCTCCCTTTCTGTGGTTGATACAATGCCTATTTTCATAATCAGATATTGATATGAAACCTATGGTTGTCACTTAAGTTTACTCATTACTATTTTATTTCATCAAAGCAAGGAGGAAAATATAACGTTGTTCTCCTCAAACTCTATTTTAACCATGGGCTTTTGGTTTGAAAATTCAATGCCATCTTACTAAAGGAATACTGAATTCTAAAGACCATTTTGTATGGTCTGTAAAAATACCTCATATAGTTGCTTTTGAAATGGCTAAATTGAAGGATTGTCTGGGTGTTTCAGGAATTTTGTTGGTGGTGCATTTATTCCTATCAAAGCATGAGTCAGTTTTTCCCCTGCATGTATGTATCTATCAACCCCCTGGGGAAACTACATACTTTATCATGTCTTTCGTTCAGTGTTTCCTTATGACTGTGGAAGACTGAACGTGACTTTGGTGTAAATCTTGTCAAGTTCAGCTAGTACTTGTTTCTATTTTGTATCCCACGGTCCTGGATGGAGGAGGGTGGCTCACCATCTGTGATATCTATAAAACTTGCCTCGGCAGTCCACTTGTCTTGTCTGGTGACTGTCTGCTGTGAGGTGTGTTTCATAGGTGGTGTCTCCTCCCACCCCAAGGGTCTACAATGGCTCTCCTGACCCCTAGGGTGTGGTCTTTCCTCTGCATAGCAAGAATCATAGTACACCAAAACATTCTTTTATTTGAGACACAAAAATGCAAAATCGCTGAGATATCAAACATTTCCCGATCAGCTACAATACTGCCACTATGTACAAAAGATCTGATGATAAATGTGCACACATATAAAAATACAGTATGCATTACCTATGTACAGTACATGTGCAAAATGTATGGCATTCAAACATGATATGGAATTGATTTCAGGGGTGCAAACAGCAAATACAAAGGCATCATGGTTTTTCTTTTAAAAAATAACATAAAGGCAATACATGAATGGACCCCCGATTGCCATAATTTTTTGTTTATTCAACTAGTGCTTTACTAAGCAGGGCTCTGTAGATTGGTATCTTTCTCCTTTTTTTCATAAAGTGAGATGCTAAGACATAATGTGACAATGAAAATAAGAAGAGAAACACCTATCACGTTGCATTTCTACTGCAAGCAAGAAGAAAACTAATTTGTACATAGAAAGGAAAAAACTTTGTATTACTACTAAATATGTATTATTCTTAAGCCAACAAAACAAATCTATACTATTTTACATGAAAACAAGAGAAATATCTACATCTTTGTGAAAATTATAACCTTAAATGGATAATACCTTTTTGGGACTCATTTTTGAGATCTCATAGTCTCAAATTTTAAATAAAAAGTGCCTCCTTTTGGCAAATACTTGGCAATGCCTTTGGTTCCTTTAAAGCAAGTTTGCATTACTATTGGTTAGTTGAGGTGAAGTACTTTTGGTAGGTACTAACCCCTTTTCTAAATGCTTCCTCCTCTTACCAATGAGCAGGTTTCCTTACAGCATAATGTAGAGAGGTAATTGTTCTGAGTCTCGGTGATTCGATGAACTTGGTTCAAGCTTTGTCTTAGTAGTTGGCACAAAGCTCTGTTAAACACGACACCTGTGTGGATATTGCCAATGACATTTTATTTGATTCCAGACAGCACCTTGTAGATCTGAGATTGCCATCCCGTTGTCACAAAATGGTGACATTTTCCAAAAGTGATTCACAGAGCAATGTGTTTACGTGGAGGGTAAGAGCTCTTTTGTAAACATGTGCAGCTTTTTGAATGACAGGCCTCAAATCCAAGATTTCAGGTAGAAACCCTTTGCAACGATGCATTTCCTCAAATACTGCAAGAAAAGGTGAACGTGGAAAATGTCGACCTGCTTATTACCATGCAGACAGTCACTTCACAAAGGAAAAGGCAGCCTAGAAAGATTGTTGAATGAACAAGTTACTGAAGGTTTGAACCAGGAAAAAGAATTACTACATCTCAATCGCTATTTTCCAGTTTTGACTGAAACCACTTAACAGATGAGCTGAAATGCAGTCAGGATGCTCTCCAAATACACATTTCTGCACTTGTAAGCTGTGTTCCTTGATAAACCTGACCTTCCAGTTACCATTTGTTGATAATCTAGGCTAATTTTGTGGCCTCCAGGGCAGTGGACAATTTGTTTGGTATTCTGCTCTGCTGCCTGTAGTCAGGATTCATGTTTGCAGTGATGGATGGCAGAAAACGGAGGGGTATTTGTGAATTCGGGTAAATGGACCTGTGTTGCTCTGCTGGTAGACACTGAATAGCTATTCTCTCTCAAGTTCTCTAAAAAGTCCCTGGTGGTGCCACACACTCCCCACCTGACAGCAGGGGCTCTGGTGAGGCTAGCCACTAGGTGGGCCCACGGACACAGCGTGAGGGTGTGGACGAAAGCCTGCCCAAGTGCTTTACCACTTCTCTAAGGCCAGGTCTGTTTGCAGACAGCAGAGGGACTGTCCTGTCACTTGCAAGGACAGCTGTATTGTCAGCTGTTGTGGCTGGATTCAGCCTGGGAATTCTGAAAGGACTCTGAAGAAAGCTCTGTGGCCTGGAATGATCTGGGGTTGAGGGTAGAGGAAGCCTGAGTCAGCTTTGGTGACAAAATGGGTAACACGCTCCTGATACATCACTCAGTGTCCGCTGACTGCACAGTTCAGTGGCCTATCTTATTACCAGGACTGCCTTCAACGGGCGGCAGCTTGGAGGCAATGCCAGACGGCCTCTGCCACTGTTCTGAAACTGCACTCACAAAAGTGTCAGTTACACGGATCACAGAACCGTGCAGGTTTTAAAAAGGAAATTTAAATAAGCTCTCTTTAGTATTATAAAAATATTCATATAAAACAAACACAAATAGTATCTAAGCAAGAAACTCCACAAATTCAGAATACATCTATGTACAAATATGTGGCAAATACTATACAGTAGATTGCACACTTCAGGAAAAACACTAGAACGTGAACCACTAACACTGTCCTAAGAGGCTTCCTAGTACATGCTTTGCTGAAATGTACAAGATGACCACACACTCCTAGACTTCCAAAGACTGCGTAGAAGCTTTGGTGTAACTTTCTATTCATCCACCCGTGACATGACCTGATATCTACACATACTGGAAAGGTAAGCTTGATATGACTGTGTTTCAGGAATATTTAGGGAAATAAGACTGGATGTGAGATAATATGTTTCTAGGAGTTAGTTGTTTTCTTGGCAATATGATATTCTGCAAGATGACGTAATACAACAATACCACTTCTAAACTACACACATGCGTACTGAAAATCCAACTGGCTATTCTGACCTGTGCTTTAATGGCTGTGAAACTTACCTCAAACAATAAAAATAGTCCTCTTTAGTAAACACACACCTTTTCCATTGCACTTACCATTATGTACACCGAGTTAGGTCAGAGGGGCTTTGATTACAGAGCGTCATCTTTGGTCACGTCACATGCTGTACACGGTCTGTGTTCTCACTCTAACCTGGAACACGTAGCTGGGACCCTGGAGAGCAGCTTCGATGTCACAGATGCCCGGCTTGCTGCTCAAGCCAGGGCAGGAGGGCCCAGCGGAATGGTGCGAGTGGGTGGCTGGTAGAGTTAATAAGTAGAGACTCCGTGCCTTCCTTTTAAAGGAAATGCTGGTACAGAAAGGTTTGAACACATACGTGAAGTGGGCACTTTCACAAGTCATAGTCAAAAGAGAGCAGGCTAATAAGATGGCATTCTTTGCATGGCAGTGTGTGTTTTTGGAGAGCAACCTTCCTGTGGCATGTTTCAAACCTTATTTTAAAAAAGCAACAAGGGAGTTGAGGGCTAGAAACGACCTATGTACACAACTTGGGATGATGGAAATAGAAAGTTATGCAACAAGAGTCAACAGCACTAGCTGTTCAGTTGCCTCCTACAGTCCCACTGATATATAGTGCTAATTTAATAAGCCATTTAAATCTGAATGAAGATGATGCTCAGAGTCTAAGTATGGACCAGATAAGCCCCAGACATAAACCCATGGCCAAGACCTTCCCTAAGAAAAGTACCTTCCCAAGTAAATAGCCCGGCCCCTGGAGACAGGCGCTCTGAAAGGAACTGACTCAGGGATGCACATCATGGCCAAGACGGTAAACTCTCTTGTTGGGCTTGGTCAGACGGCGGCGTAGTGGTTAACAGAGAGTTACTGTTGGACCACCAATTTCCAAACACTTCAGCTACTCACTAGAGACCATACTGAGCGTGGCCGCCTCTGCCCTGAGCCATTCAGAAGCTCTTTCAAGTTGGGAAGTGCCAGTTAGACGGCTCCAGTGTTATGGGTGACCGAATACTGGAAAAACAGACTTTTCTTACATGTAAAATTTACAAACCGAAATAAAAATCTGAAATAAGATCAGCTCTTAGGCAAAACACAAACCCAGAAATGATTCATAAATCCCTTCCAAATCATGGGTCAGGTTGCCTTTTTCATGTCACTGTGGGAACATTCACCATTTAATGACCCAGAGAAGTTAACCCAACCCTAGGTTTACACAAGGGGAGCGGGAGAGCATGATAATATTATCTAGTAAAAACCTCCATGCTTTTTGGTAGACTTGAGGGTTTTTTTCAGTTATTTACATTTTGTCATATACTTAAACAACTAGCTTGAAATAATTTTGGAAATCCTGTGATAGTTGGCATTAAGAAAATTCTTAAACTACTCAACAAATGTGTGACAACTTTTTTTCTATAACAAAAAATTATTAATAAAACCTCCAGTTTTTCAGTCCTCAGCTTGCTAATATAGTGAGCGCTTGGGTATGACATCCAGTTACAAGCCTGTAAAGCGACAACCAGGGATAAGCGACAGAGGAGTAGACAGCCAGAGCTGGGATCAGGCGCCAACCTGGCAACATGGTCTAACCTGTAACCACATGGGAACGTCCTGGGTTGATGACAGACTTCTCCTCTGCTTTCTCTTTGCAACTCACCAGCTCAGAAAGAAATTTTATGCTAAAGCCTTTTCTTGGTTCTTTGAGATGGGTCTGGTTACCTGAAAGTTAGTCAGCAATTCCTTAAATACAGAAATACATGTGGCTCAAGTACTCTAGAAATATTCGAGTTATTAAAAAGCAAGACCACTGGATACCCAATTCCTTACCCCAGTATAGGCCGTACAAATCACAATGTCAGAGTGTACATACAAATGCCTAATATACACATTAAACTCAATCTAATCAACCCAGAGGACTGCTAGTAGAATTTTCAGTGTTATCAATATACCTGGACTTTTTACAGTGGATTGTTTATGACAGTATTTTGTAGACATGGTCTGGTTTGGTGAAAGATCTTCCATTTAAATTTAAATTTGGAAATCTAAAGTAAGATTCCAAAAATCACAAAATAAACTACAACACAAAAAGATTATATTAGTTTCTGAATGGAACCAAAAGTCTCCAGCTGAAGCTGTCACTGATCCTGCTGGCGCTCTCCACTGCCTCTGACCCCTGCTGCATCTTGGGCCAGGCTCAGGCCATGTCCAGGAAATACCACGTGCAGTGACCTCACCTCCCTCACACCGGCACTCTTTTATTCTAGGTCTAAAGCGACCACAGCGGTTACATGTAGTCGATTACCAGAGAATCCTCACGTCGCTATCCTGCACACACTACTCTTCTTTATGTTTTTATCTAAAGGTACTTTTCATTCTTTACTGAAGTCTGGAGAAACACATGAGTCTTTGACTACAGATCTTTCAGAAGGCCCTGTGCTATGTTAAATTGTAGACATTCACTGCTGGATGCAATGAAGTGTTTTCAAACTTGGTTTCCAGGCTATGACTGTCTATCCATTCTTTCTGTGACAACATATTTTAACTGCAACGATGCAACTAAGGATCTGTCCCTAAAAACTGACCTTTTAGAATCATCGTCATCATCTTAAACTTCATGAACTCTGAGACAAGAAATCTGTGTTGTTAGTCCCATGGCAACGGGAGGTCTTGGGGATCCAGAAAGTCAGCAGAGAACATACTTGGAGCAGTGGTGCCGAGAGGAGTGAGTCCTGACGACGAGTTAGGCATAGTAATGTCTAACCACTCCATGTTGTCCAAGTTTGAGTCAGAAAGGTCAAGTGACAGACAGGGAGTACTTGCAGCAAACTGGGCCTCGGAAGTTTCCATGGGTGAGTGTGAATGGTCCAGCACACTTGAGTGACTCAGCAGATCATTCTGGAGATCCTCAATTAGAGAGAAGGGCTCTCTATCTTCACTGCTGCTTTGTAGTGGAGCAACTTCATTGGCTGAAGGTAAAGTTCCATCCAAGAAAGCTTCTAGTTGGTTCTCTAAGCTGGCAGATAAACTGCTCATAGGTTCTAAGGATATGGGTGGTGCCATTTGGACTTGGGGTGGTGGCCGGGACACCACTGTGTTGACTGGCATTGTGGTGATGCTGGCTGTCACTGGTCTCATTTTGGAAATAGGAGAAGGCTCTTCTTTTATAGGGAGGGAAATCTCTGTGCAAAATAATTGAAGTAATTAGTAAGTAAAGGTTTACTACTATTTAAAAATTTGTATTAATTACTAGGACAATTATTTTGCTATTTTGCGATGACTTATACACAGTCTTATCTTAGAGGTAGGAGGAGAATGCTATTGGTCAGGTATAATCCTTGATAACCTGTAGGATCATTGTAGTTAAATATATACACATTTAAGTTTATAACATTCTGATATGCCTTCAGTTCTTTTTAGTAAGAGTATGCATTAAAAGCAGTTACACCCCATGAGGTAGGAGTTGACGGTTTTAGATTATTTCATCTTTGGGTCCTTATTCTCGGTCATTTTAGGCTGAAGATAGGCTCACGTCTTATCCTACACCATGAATCTGCTATCACAGCAGCACGTGGCCCCTAAAGTGAATGTGAAAATGAATACCCTGAGTTTGTGCAGACATGGAGTACACCTTTAATATTATGAAAGATCTAATTATATATATATATATTTTTTGGTGAGGAAGATTAGCCCTGAGCTAACATCCATTGCTAATCCTTTTTTTTTTTTCCTGAGGAAGATTGGCCCTGGGCTAACATCCATGCCCATCTTCCTCTTCTTTATATGGGAGGCTGCCACAGCATGGCTTGACAAGCAGCGCGTCAGTCCGCGCCTGGGATCCGAACCTGCGAACACCGGGCCTCCGAAGCGGAGCACACGCACTTAACTGCTACCCCACTGGGCTGGCCCCAAATGTTTTTTCTTTTTTATCATTATAGTTGAACTGCGTGCCGAATTTGACTGTATACATTCTGTATAAAGTTCTGAAAATATACAATGCCATCTCACATCATTTCTGAATTAAAGCTAACACGTGGCTCCTTTGATCTTATTTAAGATGAGCTTGGATTACCTTATTTTTCTCACTTTTTTGTCTTGTTTTTTGAGTTTATATAAAATCTTGAGGATTTGGTAAATGTCTTAATAAGCACTAATTATGTGTTATTCCTTGCCAGATCAAATAGCAAATTAAAGAATATATCAGTGATCACTTAGCTACATATATTTGAATAAAGTATCTTTTTAACTCTTAGGAGTATCTGGTGGGTTTAATTTAAATGCAGATACGCTAGGAAAAATGGATTTAGCAATAGCTCTTACAACTTAATGACTGGAACGCATAAATAGCTGAGAGAAAGAACTTATGATTAATTCCTACATGCGAACTGTCGACTGTGTGTATCACGTGTGTTTTTAGGACAGTTTATGTTACTTTTCATTATGTGTAGTCATTTCTAGAATTGTTTTGAAAGCTGAAAGTACAATCTAAGTAACTAGTCTTATAATCAACTGTTTAAATCTCTGTTCTCATTATTACTGGTATTAGTACACAATAAGCTGAAATAATATACTCATTGGATACTTTGCCATAAAAAATCATTCCTTTTAGAAAATAACTCAACTGTTTGATGACTTCGTCCCATTTTAATTTCCAAGTTTAGGCTGTGAAATTATTCTTTTTAATCATTTAAAAAAGTCTTTAAAAAGCATTTTATTTTTTTTATCCTAAATTCAGGGGATGAATATCTATTTCTTTAATTTCCATAGTTTCACTATATCATGAGTTTATTTTGCAAGGCCAATACAGTTCTTAGCTAAAAGATGCTATTTGCACGTGTAGATCTGTAGTCAAATATCTAGAATTTTCTATGTTATGCTAAACATGAGAAGAGCATTAACCTCAAAATCAAATAGTACCTGGTATGAACGGAGAAATTTTGATCACTATTTAAAAATCTGAATAAAACTCCTTTTATCAGGGAAATTTTAGAATACTTGAAAATATTCCAAAATAGCATTTGAATTTTTGAAATACTGATTTTATATGTATTTTTAAAGATATGTAAGCCAAGACAGAGATATCCTTGATTTTTTTTTTTGTGGTTTATATCCCTTTTTTTTTTTTTTAAAGATTTTATTTATTTATTTTTTCCCTCCAAAGCCCCAGTAGATAGCTGTATGTCATAGCTGCACATCCTTCTAGTTGCTTATATCCCCTTTTAAGATGATACACTGTAAGATTTTCACACGTAGAAAGTACTTTACAATTGCCTTTGAATATTAATAAAGCTATTAGAGCCCAAGCTAGGTTACTTGGTTGTTACAAATTTAATGCATGAATTTGAATGTTTTTATCCCATGACAATGGGATAAAATGGAACAAGTGGGAACAAATGGAACAAGTTTTGAAGTTTTTCAATGTGGAATTTAAATCTAATTCTACTTGGCTATTTTGAGATGGTCTGTCTTTTTCAGCAGGTATAGATATCTTACTATGTTAAGCTGAAACAATGGCTTTTCCTCCACTTATAAGTAAGTTGTTTTAATAGCCTAAATTTAACAGATTTTAAAACAGTAAATTCAGTTAGAATTAGAAGAATACGTTTCTTACTACTCAGAGATATGCTGTGAGCTCTAGAGGAAAACTTTCATAAACTTGTGAGAAGAGATTAGGGGTCTGATGTGACTTTTGACCTACCTCCACTCTTAATGAGAATATCAAAGAGGTCATCCATCTGCTGACTGTGTGCAGTGGAAATCTACAACAAAGGAGAATATAAATTAGCTTTCTTTCATACAAACCTGGAAGCATTATTCAATTGGGAGCACTAAGGGACCTTATAGAACAGAGTTCTAATCTATCATTTGATAACTCTGAAAATACTGAGGTCACCTGAGAAGTTAAGCCATTTACCCAAAGTGTCACAGCCAGTTAGTTGACAGAACAAGAATGGGGCTAATACCCAGCTCAGTTGACTCGCACACCTCCTTATTTTTTAATCACTGATTGTATTTTGAGAGGCCTCTCATGTTTTCTTTGAAAAATATCTTTATTTATTTGTGTTCAGGTAAAAATATCAAGTATGTATAAAGGTGATCATGCTATATTTTTTCAGCTTTATTGAGAGTAACTTTACATACAATAAACTGCACTTATATAAAGTATACATTCTGATAAGTTTTGACATATGTATACCCCTATAAAACTACCAAAAAAGTCAATATAATTAACACATCCATTGCCCCTGAAGTTTCTTCATCCCTAGACAACCCACTGATCTGCTTTCTTTCAGTATAGAGCAGTTTACATTTTCTAGAGTTTTATATAAATGGATCTGTACAGTATATATTCTCCTGTATTTGGGGGGCAGGGAGGTAGCTTCTTTCATTCAACATAACTGAGGTTTATCCATGTTGTAGAGTATACCTTAGAAATAGTTCATTCCTTTTTATTGCTGAGAAGTATTCCATTATATGGAAATACCACAGTTTGTTTGGGTTGTTTCCAGTTTTTGGCTACTACAAATAAAGTTGCTGTGAACATTTGTGTACAAGTCTTTGTATAGACATATGCTTTCTTTTCTCTTGGGTGAATTCTGAGGAGTGGAATGACTGGATCATAGGGTAGGTATATGTTTAACTTTTTAAGAAATGGCTGTTTTCCAAAGTGATCATACGATTTTACATTTCCACCAACAATGTATGAGATTTCAGTTGCTCTATATTCTCTTCAACACTTGGTATGGTCAGTCATTTTAATTTTAGACATTTAATAGGAGTGTAGTGGTATTGCATTGTGAGTTTATGTGCATTTCCCTAATGATTAATGATGTTGAACATCTTTTCATGTGCTTATTTGCCATCTGTGTATCTTCTTTGGTGATATGTCTGTTCAAATCTTTTGCCTACTCCAGACTTCTTATGCTTACTGTTTGTCTGGTAAATCTTTTTCCAATCGTTTACTCTCAACCTGTGTCTTGGTATTTAAAGTATGCTTCTTGTAAATACATTAGTTATCTATTGCTGTATTACAAATTACTTCAAAAAACTTAGTGGCTTAAAAAACTAAACAATTATTATCTCACAGTCTCTGTGGGGCAGGAATTTAGGAATGGTTTAGATGAGTAGTTCTGGCTTGGGGTGTTTCATGAGATCGTAGTCAAGATGCTGGCCAGGTTACAGCCATCTCAAGGCTTGGCTGGAGAATGTTCTTGTAAAGGCGACTCACTACATGACTGGCAAGTTGGTGCTGGTTGTTGATGGGAGGCCTCAGTTCCTCTGCACATGGGCCTCTCCAGAGGGCTGCTGGACTGTCCACGTGGCACGACAGCTGGCTCTCCCCAGAGCCAGCAATCCAAGAGAGCAAGGCAGGAGGGGCATGCCTTTTAAGGCCTTGTTTCAGATGTCATACACCATCACTTCTGTCAATTCTATGCAGTAGAAGCAAGTCACTAAGTGCAACCCAGGGAGGAATGTCAAAGAATTTGCAGACATATCTTAAAACCACCACACGGCACATAGTTGGGTCTGGCTTTTCATCCATTTTGATAATCTCTGCATTTTAATTGTACTGTTTACTCCACACTAGTGTGTTTTGTGTAATCACTGATATAGTTAAGTTTGGGTTTACCATTGTATTGTTTCTATTTGTCCTATCTGTTTTTTCTTCTTCCTTTCCTGTCTTTTAAAAAGAAAATATTAACTTTTTTTTGGAATTCTAATTTTTCTATTTTTTAAAAGCTATACTTCTGGCCCAGCCTTGGTGGTGTAGTGGTTTAGTTTGGTGAGCTCTGCTGTGGTAGCCCAGGTTCGGTTCCCAGGCACAGACCTACACCACTCGCCTGTGAGTGGCCATGCTGTTGCGGCGGCTCACATACAAAAAGATGAAGATTGGCAACATGTGCTAGCTCAGGGCGACTCTTCCTCAGCCAAAAAAAAAAAAAAGCTATATTTCTTAAGTTGTTACTGTTGGTATACATACACATCCTTAATTTTTCAATGTTGTACCATTGCATATAAAATATAAAACCCTGAACATACAGATCCATTTATTTCCTCCATCCTTTATTAGTTATTTTAAGTATTATATCTATATATTTTATAAACCCCTCAAGACAATGTTATTTCTTATAGTGCAGGTTTTCTGGTGATGAATTATCTTCATTTTTCTTGATCTGAAAATAGATCTCTGTTCACTATCATTCTTAAAGGATATTTTTACTTGACATAGAATTCTAGGTTGACAGTCCCTCCCAACTCCCCCCCTCTATGAAATTTTTTTTTTTAATTATTATTATTATTTTTAATTTTTTAATTTTTTTCCCCCCCAAAGCCCCAGTAGATAGTTGTATGTCATAGCTGCACATCCTTCCAGTTGCTGTATGTGGGATGCGGCCTCAGCATGGCCAGATAAGCGGTGCGTCAGTGCGCGCCCGTGATCCGAACCCGGGCCGCCAGCAGCGAAGCGCACGCACTTAACCGCTAAGCCACGGGGCCGGCCCTCCCTCTATGAACTTTAAAGATGTTTTTCCACACTTCTGGCTTCCATAGTTTCTCTCTCTCTCTCTTTTTTTTTGTGGTGAGGAAAATTAGCCCTGAACTAATATCTGTTGCCAATCTTCGTCTTTTTGCTGGGGAAGATTGGCCCTGGGCTAACATCCGTGCCCATCTTCCTCTACTTTATATGTGGGACGCCTGCCACAGCATGGCTTGATCAGTGGTGCGTAGGTCCACGCCCGGGATCTGAACTGGCGAACCCTGGGCTACTGAAGCGGAGTGTGTGAACTTAACCACTATGCCACTGCGCTGGCCCCCTGGCTTCCATAGTTTCTGATGGAAAGTTGACCATAAATCAAATAGTTGTTCCCTGTATATATTGTATTGCTTTTCTCTCGATGCTTTCAAGATTTGCTCTTTAACTTTGGCTTTGAATAATTTGACTATGATATGACTAGGCCTTCCATTTATCCTGCTTGGTGTTCATTAAACATCTGAAAGCTGTAAACTTGTCTTTTATCATATTTGTGAAAAATTCGGCCATTATTTCTTAAAATATTTTACCTGCCTCCTTTTCTCTCTCCTCTCCAACGACTCCTATCATACCCATGTTGGATTATTTGATATTAAATAACAGGTCTCCGAGGCTCTGTTCACTTTTTTAAAAATCTTTTTTCTGTCTGTTATTCAGATTGGAATAACAGTTCTATTGATCTATCTTCAAGTTCACTGAATTTTTTTTTTACCCCTGCCATCTCCATTCTGCTAAGATTATCTATAATTTTTTCATTTCAGATATTGTATTTTTTAGTTTTAGAATTTCCACTTTATTAAAAAAATAATTTCTATATTTGCTTACATTCCCTATACTTTTCATTCATTATGAGTATATGTTCTTTTACATTATTGAGGATACTTATTGTTTTAAAATCCTGGTCTGCAAATGCTAACATCTGGATTAGCTGGGGGCTGGTCTTAGCTGATTGCTCTTTTCCCTTGAGAAAGGTTCACATTTTCCTGATTCTTTGTGTATTGCATGTTATGAATGGCTGTTATGGATATCAAATTGTAGAGACTGTATTCTGTTATTTTTCTCAGATGAGTGATTTCTTTTGTTTTAGTAGGCAAATGTTTAACTTGGTTGGACTTGACCTTCAAAATGTTTCTTGGGCAGAAGTTCCAATCTCAGTTTAGATCTTTTGTTTTTAGCTGAGCTGCTATGACTCTACTCCATTCCTTAGGGCTGAGGGGTCAGCCAAAGATGTGGGAAGACAGAATTTGGGGATCTCCTTTCTGGTTCTTTCCCTCCTGGGTTGCTCCTGACTCAGTCCTCTGGTTTCCCAGGCCATAAAGGCTGGGGTTTTCTATCAGTAACTACCACCTTACCCTAGAGTAAAAGCAGCAACAAGAGGGAACTCACGCCATATAACTCCCTGTGTGCACGCCTCACCATAATATGACTGCTTCTACTCACTCTTCAGAGCCTCATGCAGCTGCTTTTTCTATTATGACCAGTTTATAGCTGTTATCTGTGGGAAGACTGAACTGGTAGGGCCTTTCGTAGCCAGTAGTGGAACTGGAAGTCTGAGTAAATACATATTAAAAACCTCAGAGTTGCTGGAGTTTGGTGCTCAATGGTGTATACAGAGGTACTACAGATAGCCACTCATTTGAATACAGAACTAATATAGAATTTTGGCTCCCTCACTCTATAAACATGAACAAGAGACAAGTAAACGGCAGGGATTCCAATCAGCTGTCTTAGGTTAAAGTGAGATGATTTGTCTTTGTCGTTCTTACATAAATCAAGTAAGTAGTACATATTAACCTACACATTAAAATCAGGTTTCGAAGGATGAGTGCTACCTTTTTACTTTCTTAGAAATTGTAGTTAAGTTCTTGGCAATTCATCTCTGCTCTCCTCTGAAGAGAACAGGTGTCACTTCTGAATAGACCAATGGGGAGGACAGTCTAGTTCAGCACCATTTGTTTCAATTCTTATTGCAAATGTTTAACCTATTTCTGAAATTTGGCTTTCCCATCACAGATATGGGCCCCTGCTGAGTCTGGAACTACAGTAACATTTTACACCTGGAAAAGTTATCTTCCTTCGGCATTAAGTGAATACAAAGAAGCATACGGTAACTGCATACTTCCTCAGGGATACAGTCTACCCGAGCATCCCTGCATGCCCTTTGTGATTGTGCCAAACTGCACACTGCTGCCTGGTTCTGAGCAGTTTCTGCAGCTGCTCACTGAGGTGAGTAAGTAGGTCAAGGTGACCACAGCATGGCTATGCTCATTCTCTGGTTGAGAGGACTGGCTTGTTTGCTGCAAGAAGTGCTAAGCCCTCGGCCCTGCCCAATCCACTGCGTGTGCAGCCCTCACTGGGCCCTAGTGAGTCACCCCATGGACTATGGGAGCACGGGGCACTGGCACAACTGTGCTGATGCTCCCACTGTTTGCTGTGTGTAGTAAACAGTCCTGCTCTGCTCTGTTATGTCTTGTTGTCTCCTTTCAGCATCCCTGCAGTGGTGTCAGGTTTTCTTCTTGCATTCTCTTACGAGGCTGGGGTTCTTTCTTGAGAGCGAGTTGACTTTTAAGCTTTAGATAGGCAGGAAGACTAGGAGGAATGCTTAGGGTAAGGTATGATGAGGCTGTCATTGTTGGGCACCCACCAGAGGCTTTTACAAACAGGAATTCTTAACTTTTCCATCTCTTGGAATAGGTGCGGCTCCTCCTATTTTGTCAAAGCAACAAGGAAGGCTCAGAGGAGAGGTAAGCACCTTGCCCAAGACCACGTGGTTGCCAGGTGAGTATCAGTGTGTGGTGAAGCCAGGAGGACCTCAGGTCTGTCCCCTCTAAAGTGCATTTGCTCAATATATGAACAAAGTTGCTTGCATGGGCTCGCCGGCCAGAGCAGAGGGTGCTAAGGACTAGAGAGAGATGAGGCAGGACAGAGGGGGTGTAGGTGCTGGGCAGTCTTGAAGGCCAGCCAAGCAGAAGAGGGTCAATTTGATGCTGGCCTGACAAATGGTGGCTTTAGCAAAGAGGGACCTGTATAAAATATGTGCCCTGGTCACAATCACATCTATCCCTAACATGACCCAACCCCTGAATTTCTGAGTAAGTAGGAACTGCAGCTTACAGAGCTGCTGCAAACTGTTTGGGACTCTTCATAGTGAATGATATTTTTATTTTAAATAGCACTTAAAATGCTAACAAGGCTCCTAACCATGACATTTATTTCTATTGAGGCAAGTCCATCTTAGACAAGGGATTCAATTTGAGAATGACACACCAAATCTGAGGCCGTGGACCATGGCCACTGGCCTCACTTACCTCTGGAAGGGAGGACTGGACGCTGCGCGTCTGCTTGATGGCCTCCTCATAGCGGGGAGGGTCTTTTGTCTTGGGGACTGGGCTCCCAAAGAGAGAGTGCTGGACGACAAACTGTTGGGGTGGAGGGGGCGACCCAGGCTGTGGCAAACAGAGGAGGAGCACATGTCAGCTCTGGGCAGTAAGCTTCCCTGTGCCCTGGCTAGGCTCAGCTCTGCTGTTCCTCACACAGCAGCCAAATCACGGAACTCCTAGCCGGCGAGGCTTATGACCTATGACCTGTGAGGCAACAGCACTGGTGGGCCGTCTCATGTGGGAAGGGTCATCTTCACTGTCATAACAGCTAAGCCGCCCCGTAATAATTATCATCACGGTATTTTTGGCTATTTTGCCTCAGTAGTATGGATAGTCATTCCCAGCCTAATGCACTGCGCTTTGGAAGGACTGTGTACAGCAGTAAGCATTGTTCCTGGTGTACAATCCTGGCGGGATTACCTTGTTGGGAGTGTTAGGTCCGTTTTGCAGGGATGGAAGCGGTGCATTTCTGGATTGAGGAAGGCTGTTGGATGTCTTATTAATAAAGGGCTGTGGGACTGCTGGAGCAGGTGGTCTCTGATACGGAAGAACTGTGTTTGATGCCGAGTTTGTGAAAACCTGTAATGAATAAATATTTTCCCATCAATTTGTTCTATTGCTCTTCCTAATAAAGACGTTTTAGAACAGGGGTTGGCAAACGTTTTCTGTCAAGGGCCACAAAGTATATAGTGTAGGGCTGGTGGGCCACGTGGTCTCTGTTGTAACTGCTCACCTCTGCCGTTGTAGCACAGAAGCAGCCTAGACAACAGATAAACAAATGAGTGTGGCTGGGTTCCAATAACACTATCTATAAAAACAGGCGGGGGCTGGATTTGGCCCACAGGCCATGGTTTGCATGGTTTTTCGAGTGTCAGTGGTCCCTTTACTCAGTGGCCTGTCTTTGATGGCAGTGTGGACAGTTCTCGTGGGAAAGCAGCATTTGCTCTGCATAATTTTCCTCTTCAAGGATAGCTGAATTTCTTATATTCCTCAGTAGGGGGATCTCATCCACTCTGATGGCTTTAAAGCTCAGGATTAAGCAAATAATCCCCAAGCCCACTTCTCTCTTCCAACCTTGCTCCCAAGTGCCAAAGCTACATTTATAACATCTACAAACATAAATTTTGGACATCTCAAATTTAATATACTCCAAACTAAACTTTCCCCTTTCCTCCCACCACCCCCAACCTCTAAGGGAAAATAATTCTTGGTTTTGCCTTCATTTTTTAAAAAAACTTAGGTAAATGGAGCCGTCAGTCTACTGCTTTCTCCCCTCTTTGCTAATACCTCTTAGAAATGCCTCTTGAATCAGGCCTCTGTTCTCTGCTGTCCTAATCCAGGTCCTTATTATCTATCACTGGACCACTGCCACGGCTGCCTAGCTGTGCCTCCCTGCCTATCAACCTGCCACCGCAATTACAGTCTTGACACACACACCTGACCGAGTCCCTCCCACACTCACCGGGTCTTCTGTCTTCTGGGTAAAATCATTATCTTTAGCCAGTGTGTAAACTTTACTACTTGACCCTTTTTCCATCCTACCAAAAGGCTACATACATGCTGTGGCCATGCTCAATTTTCCAGTTTCTTGAAAATTTCTCCAAATCCTTGCAAGACCCCATTTGAACTCTGCCCCCTTCTGAGAAGCTGTCTTCTGCTCTGTCAGGCATGGATGAAAATTTCTTCCTGTGGAAACTACATTGTGTTTTGTTTAGCCCCACTAAGAGCCAAAGGTTTTAGGGCCTTTTACAAATGTATGGCCATAATGTTGATATTGTAACTATATTTCACCAAACTGGTTTGCACATAAAAATATTTAATATACTTTATACCCCTAGTATTCTGAAAGAAAAACTTATCTCCTATATTTTTATTATAAATATACACAAGTATTTCTTTCTTTTTTTTTTTTTAAAGATTTATTTATTTATTTATCCTCCCCCACCCCCAAAGCCCCAGTAGATAGTTGTATGTCATAGCTGCACACCCTTCTAGTTGCTGCATGTGGGACGCGGCCTCAGCATGGCCGGAGAAGCGGTGCGTCGGTGCTCGCCCGGGATCCAAACCCGGGCCGCCAGCAGCGGAGTGCGGGCACTTAACCGCTAAGCCACGGGGCCGGCCCTACACAAGTATTTCTTAAGCATGAAAGTATGTCTATGTGTTTATATCCTTCAAAACAGAACAACTTCTCTTTGAAAAAGTTGAATTTCCTTATATTTGGTAAAAAAATTTCTTCCTTTAAATTGGAAGTAATGATTCCTAATTCTAGTATGTTGAGACTTAGTGAATAAGCCCTTATTAATCCCATTATATTGTTTTTCTCTCTCCTCTCTAAAACAAAGAAAACTGTCTTAATATTTGACTATTCACTAAGCTTATCACTACACTAAAATGTTATTTTGAGCCCAAACTAAGCAATATGCAACTATAGCTCTTTGTTCTCTGCATTTCTCAGAGGAGATTCCAAAAGAGAGCACGTGTGTTAATGTGATTGTTGTTGACCCAAGAGGTCGTTTCTGTCTGTTCCTCAGACAGTTCACACCACCCTGAGGCATATCTACAGGTACACCTAATTATCTAGGTTCTTTTATGCTGAAGATTAAAATTCTGGGACTAATAATTCTCAGGTTTAAAATAGTAAGACCTATTTTTGAGGCCTTAAGATTTTTCTATCAAGGAGATGTGCACATAGCTCCACCTACTGGATAAGAGGGAATTTTGGTAACTTTTGGGGCTATTTAACATCAGAACTTTTTGGTAGGAACTCATGTAGAGGACACTGGGCCCTACATCTGGAAACTGACACTTAGAGAAAGTAAGTGAATTCTGCACAAGGCCCAACATGGAGGAAATGGTGAACCAGAATGATAACCAGACCTAGGCCTTCTGGCTCTTGATCTGTGAGATGGCAAACTCTTAAAAATATATATGAAGATCTTACTCAAGATAAACATTTCACAAAGTATCTTCAAATATCTTCTCCCAGGGAACAGCAGTTTCCCCGCCCCTCACAAAATGATTAATTTGAAAAGATTTATTTTAAAACCCAGAAAATTCTATACCTGAGGATTAAAAAAATACTTTTGAAACTTTTACTTGGAAAAGGGGTTTAACTGTTAAGATGAGCTATCTTTGAGTAATAAAGAACTCTTTCTCTTTCCCAAATAATTGGATAATCTGTAGCCAAATGGCACCTGACCTGAGGCTCATCTGATGGGAGATGGATCATAGAAAAGAACAAACAGGAGCTTCCTATGGAGGAGGCTCCTATGAGATGCTTGTTGAATGACTAAGCAGATGATAGTAAAAACCAACAGTCTGTCATTCGTTAGCATCCACCAACCTTTCTGACTTGCTGAGATGGACTGAGCACATGTGGCGTGAAAGTGTCTTGTTTCTGAGGTACAGTCTGGGCCAAGCCTGAGGACAAAGCAGCAGTTGCTATCTGAGGCTGAGTCTGAATTCCTGCTTGCGGTGGAGTCTAGGAGGCAAATAAAAAAACATCAATTTAATTGTCAAAATCAAAGCTAGAATCAAGAGTTTAGATGTGGAACAACTGGTCACTTGGGAATCATATCTGAAATGAAATAACATAAAATGTTTACAGATAAATACTTTAATTCATCGGCACATAAATTTGACTGTAACAATTCTAAACCAGAGACTTAAACACCAGACAGTTATTTTCATGCTCTTATTGTTTTCTTAAGTGGCTAAGATTTTCATTTGAAAATTCTGGGAAAATAGAAAACTGAAATAAAAAGAACCTATAGCAGATCTACACATAATAGGTCAGGTGTTACAATAATTTTAATAGCAGCAAGGAAGTTTGTGAGGCCTAACTGTCCAAATTCCTGCATTTAAGCTGCAGTGTGTGCACTGTTACATACAGGCCCAGGATAAAACGCAGTTCTTGTTCCTAGAACATCAACTCTAATGGAAGATTTGGATGGAAAAAAAGGTTTAGGAAAGCTGTATCATAGAGTAGACTTTCAATTTCACAGATACTCTGAAGATTAAACAAGGGAATGAGGATTTCTGCATATGCCAAGGGCCTTTGGGTCATGCCTCCTAACCCCAGGGGACAAGACTCCTCCTCTCTGCCTTGACTCTGGGGAGTCAAGGTTGAGCACTGCTCCAAATGGTTTCTGTTTACCTGTGGCCCACAGTTTGTTAAAACCTACTGACATCACGTCACATAAAAACAACTTAAGGTCAACACATAGGTTATGGAGGCACAAAAGGAAATGTCATGCTCACCAGTGTTTTCATCTCTCTCACTAACATCCTCACTCCTAAGTTTGTGGTCACATTTTCCTTAGTTTAGGCATCTTCACATTAATGATGCCTTTCAAGAACTACATTTGGGAGGCAGAATATAGCAGTGGGTATAAGAATAAAAGCTCTGCAGCCAGAAGGCCTGGGTTTAAATGCCAGCTCTGTCCTTGAGCAACTTACTAAACCTCTGCAGGCCTCAGTTTCCTTATCTAGAAATGGGCTTTATCACTTGGATCTTCTGGGGGAAGGGAGGATTACATCAAGTAAGCCATTTGAAGTACCCGATGTTATGCCTTGCACATAAAAAGTACTCAATGACAGTAGCTATTATCATGGTAATGTCACTAGTATTTAAAATGTCTACATGTATAACACTGTGTTCATTAAACAGAAATAGAAAAGCACTCCTTCTTTGTTTTTACTATATAAAAACAGCACTATTCAAATTTTTGAATAACCACCCCCACCCCCAGCACAAGTTTTCTGCCACCAATTTGGATGCATTTATGAAAAAGCCCAGGTATTCGTCATGAGCAGTTTCCATTCTATGCAGGCTCTAAGGAAAAGTAGTTAGAAGACACACTTCACACCTGGAGTTTGAGGCTGCCTACTGGGAGTTGCACTGAGGTGACATTCGAGCCTTGGATGGACACCGGGAGCAGCAGCTGAGCAGTTTGCGCGGTCAGTAAAGCCTGGGGCTGAGCGATGGCAGGCGGTGGCTGTCCCTGGGAACTCACATAAAACTGCGGGACGATGCTCTGCGGCTCTGCCTGGACCACAGGGACCTCTTGCTTGATCACTACAGCCTTTTTGGCAACAAGGGTCTGGCCACCAGTAGAGACAGGCTGGCCTACAGAATGGCTGGCTACTGGGACGGGCTGCCTGGAGCTGGAGCAGTCAGTGAGCGAGGTCTCGTCTTTGACGGAGGAACCTACACTGCCGTGTTTCTGGTCTAACTTCTTGGCAGAATTAGCTGGCGTGCTGGGCTGGGATTCCAGTGGCCGCTGCTGCTGCCCTCGTTTTTCAACCTCAAGTTGCATTTTCAGAACTTCCACAAGCTTCTGCTCTTGTTCCAGTTTCCTCTTTAGCTCTTCAATCTGCTTCTCTTTCTCCTGAAGCTTGCGATCCTTCTCAGCTGCGTCCAGTTCCAGATTTGACAGAGTGCTGCTGGTGGGACTTAGGCTGTCTTCACTATTTGCCACTCTCAAGGGAGATGAGCACAAGAACTGTGAAGGAGACATCATGGTCATAATCTCGGTGAAAGTGTCTGTCATGTTTGTGTCCTCGGTACTGAGACTGGACTGTTCAGAGGGAGACGGCGAGATTGGCAGAGGGGAATTAACATTTTCAACATGGGCTACGTTGCTGGTTCCAGCAGATGGCAATTCTGCCTTGAAAGTGGAGCCTGAGCTAGTCACAGAGTTATGCAGTGTTGTAACTGGCAATGCCATGGTGACTTCTGGGTTACTAGTGACGATGGCAGACGTTGACACTGCCACGATGCCACTAGCAGCAACACCACTGCTGTTCATTTCCTGGTAGGGTTTCAGGCGTTCGATGAGGTCCGGTTTGGTGCCTGATACTGGAAGACCCCTTAACTTCAGTTCTGTCTTCAGTTCTGACACCTGGAAGTACAAACAAATCAGATCTCTTCTTTTGGTATTAAACGTTCTGACAAATCTACTGGACACTTTTATGATGGAAAAGGTGCCTCCATCTGTCAGACAACTCTGTATTACTGCGTATCTGAAAGTGGGACAGCTTTTCCTTTTTTAACACACACAGCTACAGACCTGAAGAACTTGAAAGCCAGTGATAAAGCAAGGGTTTTTAGAAGGTAATTCCCCTGTTATGTCAAAGAAAAGATTTACTACCAGAAATGATACTGATAACAGCTACATTTATTGAGTAATTACCATGTGCCAGACACTGTTGGAAGTGCTTTATTCTTTCAATTAATCTTCACCAGGTAGGCATTATTATTATTATTATTCCTGTTTTACAGCTGAGGAGATCGGGGCAGAGAGAGGCTGAATCACTAGTCCAGGCTACCACAGCTAATAGAAGGCTGAGCTGGGGTAGAAACCCAGGAAGGCTGGCGCTGGAGACCATGTTCTTAACTGTTACATCTTCCTGCTTCTCCCACACTTGGCAATGAGCAGGGAAGGAAAAAGATGTACCCCTGGAGTCAGACCTGGTATGATGCCTGCACAAGGTATATGCTCAATAAATGAGAGTTATACTGGTCATTTTAAAAGAAACTTAATGGATGTAAAAAGAAAGCACCTCTATAAAGGTTATCATATTGTTGGTAAAGCTGAATGTCTATTGAAAACTACCTACATCTGCTAGATAATCTGGCAAATCATTTACATTTTTGTGGTACTTATGGGTGAATAAACTCTACTTGGAATTATCACCTTTAAGTCATCCAAGCTTGAAGGCAGAGGTCCTGGCTTTCTCACAGGAGCAGATGTATTCTGTCTTGGTGTGTTAGGTATGGTATTGTTCAAAGCTGAATTCCCACTGTTGTTATTTTTGTCATTGAGTGGCCTTCAAAAGAAAAAGAAAATTAGAGTTGATAATAAAGTAATTTCTGGATTTGATGTTGCTTCTGCTAACAATTTGTTAACTTATGAAGAGAAAAACATCATGGTCATCGATTAGAAGACTGAATATTATAAAAATGTCAATCAAATTAGATCCCAATAAAAATCTCTGCAGATGTTTGTTTCCTTGTTTGCTTAGTAGAAATTTAGAAGGTGATTCTAAGCTCTATATGGAAATACAAAACACCAAGAATGGCCGTGGCATCCTTGAAGAAGAAAAGCAAACCTGGAAGAGTCATACCACCAGACATCAAAATTTATTACGAAGCCAGTTATTAAGATGGTGTGGTGCTGGTACAGGACGAACAACAGACAAGTGAGAGAGAACAGAGAATCCAGAAGCAGACCTCCAGATACACAGGCACTTGAGTTATCACAAAGATGACTCTGCAGTGCAGTGGAGAAGGGGTGGTCCTCCCAATAAATGGTGCTGGGCCAACCTGGATATTCATACAGAAAAAAATAGGGCTCTTGACTAACCCCTACCTCACATCATCCACAAAACCTAAATGTAAATTATGAAAACAATAAAGCTTTTACCAGAAAACTTGGGATAATATCTTCATGGCCTTTGGCTAGGCAAAGATTTCTTAAACCGGACACAAAAAGCTCTAATTAAAAGGGATACCTTTAAGAGGGCAAAAAGCTAAGACAGAGGAGAAGACATTTGTAATACATATTTCTGACAAATGCCTCATATCTAGAATATACAAAAAAGTCTTGCAAATCAGTAAGAAAAAGAAAACCCAATGGGAAAATCTTGAACAAGTATATCACAGGAAAGTATATCCAAATGGTCAATAAACATGTGAACCAGGGCTTAATCTCAATATGTATAAGGAAAATGAAAAGCGCAACAAGATAGCATTGCATAATGCAGCAGAACTGCTGCTATAATAAGTAGGACTGATGATACCAAGTACTCAGAACAACCAGAACTCTCATACATGGCCGGTAGAAGTGTGAACTGGCACAGCCAGTTTGGAGAACTGTTTCATAGAATCTACTAAAGAAAAATCTATGCCTATCCTCTGAACCAGCAATTCGATTCCTAGACAGACACCTGACAAAGAAATACATACGTGAACCAAAAGATTCAGGTTAGAATATTTACTATGGCATTATTCATAATAGCCCGAATTGGAAACAACCCAACTGTCCATCAAGAGTATGATGCATGGATAAATTACAGAATGTTAGACAGCAATAAAAATAACTGCTACCTCTGCACCTATAAAGATGCCTCTCACAAACATAATGTCAAGCAAAAGAAGCCAGACACATACGTGTACTGTAGGACTGCATTTATATAAAGTTCAAAAATAGGCAAAACCCATCTCTGGGATAGAAGTCAGGACAGTCACTGAGAGTGGACGCAGGAGGCCTTTTGGGGTACTCACAATGTTCCATTTCTTTTTTTTTTTTTAAACTTTATTTATTTATTTTTCCCCCAAAAGCCCCAGCAGATAGTTGTATGTCAGTTCCACATCCTTCTAGTTGCTGTATGTGGGATGCGGCCTCAGCATGGCCTGAGAAGCGGTGCGTTGGTGCGCGCCCAGGATCCGAACCCTGGCCGCCAGCAGCGGAGTGCACGCACTTAACCGCTAAGCCACGGGGCCGGCCCTCCATTTCTTGATTTAGGTAGTGGTTACAGCAGTGTGTTTACTTTGGCATTAATTTTCACTATCGATTTATGAACTCCTCTGTAATTCATACTTCATTTTTAAAAGTTTATTTAAAAAACACTGGTGAATCAGTTTTACTTTTGTACTAATTTCCCTACATTCCTTTCTACATCAAAGCCAGGTCCCCTCCTAACTTCTTCTGACAGTGATACTCTTGGTAACAATGGTATTTCCTTTTCTGGGTGGTTGACACCTATGAAAGAAAGGTACCCGTGATGGCTGATACTGTATAGCCAATTCCATTACAGCCTCAGGCTTTATTGTCATAGAAATCTTGGCGCTGAAGCCAAAGAGACTTTGGATCCCACATTCTGAAATAGGGATCTGCGGTGATGATGCCGATGGGGTGAGGTCCATAGCTGGATGATCTTTGTCAAATGAGTTTTAAGAAGCCTGTGTTTGAAGCCAGTTCTGGTCCTGTCAACAACTCACTCTTGACATTCAATTTGGGGTCTTTTTAAACCTGCCTAAATTTTGTTGAAGTTAAGTACTTGAAGTATTTGAGATGAAGTTCTTAAGTTTGGATGAAATGACAAATATTTTGTGTATCGCTATTCTCATTTTTAAAAATTCAATATTTAAATCTCATGTTAGAATTATAAAATCAGAGTTTCTCTACCTTATTTTCATTATTGTCCCCCCAAGGAGCCTTTTTGGACATCTTTTTTCCTTACCACCCTCCCCATGACATTTTTTTTTTTTTTGCAGGGAAAGATTTGCCCTGAGCTAGCATTTGTTGCCAATCTTCCTCTTTTTTTTTTCTCCCCAAAGCTGCAGTGCATGGTTCTACATCCTAGTTGTAAGTCTTTCTAGTTCTTCTATGTGAGTCACCACCACAGCATGGCAACTGACAGACAGGTGGTGTGGTTCTGCGACTGGGAAACGAACTGTGGCCGCCGAAGTGGTGCAAGTGCCGACCTTGAACCACTAGGCCATCAGGCTGGCTCCCCATGGCACTTTAATACCACAATATACTGCATAACTGTCTGTGTACTGTATGGATGTCTGTGCTTTCTTAAACAAAAAGTGCAAGAGTCCCCCCAATCAACTTTTGCTCCATTGTGAACGATATCTCCTTAAGAATGCATGATTTAAATTATTCTATTCATGTGGTCTTTGTTTGAGATTCTACAATACTCTACTTGTTACTATGATTAACATGTTCATCAGTGTTTAATTCAACCTTTAAAATAACAGAAGTAAGTTGATCTATTTTTCCCCCAAATCAACAGAGAAAAAAAGTGGGGGGGGGGGCCGGCCCCGTGGCTTAGCAGTTAAGTGAGTGCGCTCTGCTGCTGGCGGCCCGGGTTCGGATCCCGGGCACGCACCGACGCACCGCTTCTCCAGCCATGCTGAGGCCGCGTCCCACACACAGCAACTAGAAGGATGTGCAGCTATGACATACAACTACTGGGGCTTTGGGGGAAAAAATAAATTAAAAAAAAAAATTATAAAAAATGGGGGGGTGGCCTGATGAATGTGATCACTGTGTCGATGAGAAACCTGAAGTTCAGAACAATGAGGTGACCTTCAGGACCCTCTGTCATGAGTGGCCTCACTGGGACTAAAGCCCCATCTCTTCAGGCTCTTGCTCTTTCCAAGGTAAAGATTTTACCTGCGTTATCAGGTAAAATCCCACTACTGCAAGCACTAGAGGACTTCCATATTCAGTTTCTTGTATTGGAATTTTGGTAAAAAGAAACAATGTGTTAGAAAACAACATCTCCATTTTTAGGACCTGGAAATTAAACAGCAGTTATGCTCAGTCTCTGTGTGGTGAAATAATACACAAAAATAAGAGATCTTTCCTCCTCCTCGTTCTTGGATCTTTTTGTATGTTTCCCTTGGGTGGGTGGCTTGGTTACTTTAGTGGTGGGAATGTTTGAGGAGAAGAGGGGAACTGAGGCCTTAAAGGAAAGACAGAGAACTGTGTGAGTTCAGATACCCCACACCTCAGATGTGTTCTTCCTGTCGACAAAGCTGGCCCCACACAGCCAATTTCTTTCATTACAGAAAAGACTATTTCATAGATAGATACCACAAAAAATCCTTTTATGGGATTTTCAGTTTAAGTTTCCTCATCTGGGAATGGCTTTGATAAAATGAGGATGATGATGATGATGTCAAGTGTTGAGCACATTGCTTGGTGCATCGTAAGGAGCACATAAACGCGAGCCATCATCACTGGTGCCCAATGCCAAAGGAGGGTGGTGGCGGTGGAGGGTCCTCCCTAGGTCCTGGACAGAGCTATAAGCAGCGGCAGATTGTCTCTGATACTCTTCCAATTCTCCTTGGCCTTCCCTGGTTCACTTCCAATGTCAACAGCTCACTCAGGCCTGCTTGCTCTTAAAATAATAACATCCTACAAAAATTCTTTCTTTCTTCATCTCTGTGCCCTGATGTTTTAGATTTAAGTACTTCACAGTAAGGTCTGAATGACTAATAGCTCTTATCTTCCTCGAGATATTTGGATCTTAAAAGAAAAAAGTGAATTGATAATCATTAGCATATGAGGAGATATTTCTTAACAGAGAAGCTTTTTAGTGGGTCTTAATTCTTTTCTACTCCTAGAAAATAGGGGCTCCCTACGGAGGAATGCTTAGCCGACGTGTAGAAAACAGAAGTAAACATTCTACAGATCACATGATCATAAATTGAGGGGCTTGATCACAGAGAACAGTTTTTCCTTATAACGAGATTTTGGATCTTTTTCTAGAGTTTTCTTTTCTCCTGTTGAATGTAAATATCCCTTTCTCCTGAAAAGCGAACAGTGTCTTTGCTTTTTTATCTATATTTCCCAGAAAAAGCATATTGAGGATGTAAATCTAGAAATTTCCTTTGTTATATAATTAAAATTAACTGTGGATGTCTTGCTATGAATTCAATCTCAGAAATTGTCCCAACTCACTCCCTTCTGTCCCTCCCAATTAGGCTCAAACTCTGGAAACATGTTCCTTCTCCACAGTTGTTGGTCACCAAGACCTTTCATTGTCTTTTCAAACATCTATCACTTGTTCCTCCCTTTCCATTATCAGCACCTGTTCATTCTTCTCACATCTAATTTACTGCAAAATTTCTAACTGGTTTTCCTACTTCCAGACTCCCCTTCAATACTGGTATCAAACTATTCTTTCTTGCATTTTGCTGTTACCATGTCACTATGAGCCTCTGAAACATCTATCACATCAAGATTATAGTCTGCCCAACTTCAAGTTTCTCCAGACATTGGCTCTACTCAATTCTGTGTTCCACTTTTCTTAAAAACTAACCACCTTCTTTATTCAGGCCATGTCCCCACCATCTAATAAGCAGGCGCTGCTGACTCCTTCCTCTGCACTTGCACACAGATCGTTCCCCTTTGCTTGGAAGAGCTCTTCCCAGGTTTCAGGCCCTTTTCCATATAAATATCCTGCCTTTTTCATGAAGCTTTCCTTGACCATTCCAGCTTTTATGCTCATCTGTTTTTTTTTTTTCTTTTTTTAAACTGTTTATATCAAGTCTTATACTTCTTATGCTTTTCTCATAGCATCTAAAACTATTTGAGTAAATAACAGGCAAATCTTTCCTGGATGAATAATTGTGAAAAGTTATTTCTAACTTGAAAAGTTCAGAACCTATTCTGGAGGACAAAAACTGGACTGGAATGCAGGTTATTCTCACTATGTCAACTTCAGAAACTGTATTATAAGCTTTGGTGACAATAAAATGAAAATAATCATTGAGCAAAAATAAATCACAACATTCAACCTTTAGTAACTAATGGTTCCTCATAAAAAACCCACAGTAAAATCCACTTAGGAAGCCAGCATTGACCCCGGCAGCGTACTTGAGTGGCGCAGGCAGGATCGTCTGGTAGTTGTAGTGTTGCTGCTGCTGGCTCAGGATCTGTAGCTGCAGGAACAGCTGCTGCTGCTGGAGCAGGCGGGCGTAGTTGGAGTCCATCTGCGGCTCATTCTTCTCACCTTTCTGATCTGGTGGAATGTACTGGTGGTACTTCAACTTCTTTACCCGGGGTTTGGGATCTTTGCACTTTTTGCTACGGTGTTTGTCATTCGGATTCTTGGGATGGCTTTGCTATTTTTCAGAAAAAGAAATTAACATTTTAAGAGATGCCACCACATGCAATCTATCCTACTACATGCCTAAATGATTTGAAATTAAAAAGCAACGCACCTTAGAAGCTGGTATAGCCACTATGGAAAGCAATATACTAAATATATTTCAAGGGCCATAAAAACATTTGCATACTCCCTTTGACCAAGAAATCTTGCTCCTAAGAACTTATTTTCTCCTGCTGCATTGTTCCCTTAGAGTAAGGGCAAGATGCTCAGCTCAACATTGTCTGTTTAAATTCAACAAACATTTACTGTGGGTCTCCTGCTAAGTGCTTACAGGTATTATCTCCTAGTGAAAACCAGGCTGTATACTAAATATACTATAGGGAAAAGATTAAGTATATTTCACTATAGTGTGAGACCCCATCATATGATTAAGAATCAGATGACTTTTTCCTGAGTTTTTTTCTTCTCTTCCATTTATAAGTTATCAGATCACTTTCTACTTTTTAGTATTCATATTATAAAATAACTTAATCTGAAAAAAAAAAAAGAGTCCATCAACAAAACAAAACAAAACAACAAGGTAAAGGAAATTATTCCTAAGGGGTTTTAGGTAAAATACTTAACTTAATAAGAAGACTTTGAGAAATACTAACCTAAATATAGCTTGGTGTGATCATGTTACATATATTCATATTCAAAGAATTAGGAAATTGCAAAAAACCCCAAAGAACTAAGACAAAGAAGAAAATAAAAACCACCATATTCTACAGGCCAGAAATCATCACTATTAACATTTAATTTTTACCCCTCGGCTGTCTCTGTTCAGTCAAACTGGCTTCCTTGTTCAGAGACTTCCAACTTTCTCCCCACAGATATCCTCATGGCTCACTCCCTCTTTTACATCTCTGCCCAAACATCATCTGCTTATTTTACCAGAGCATCTCCCCACCACCTCATATCCTCGCCTTATTCTTCCCCCACTGGTGCACTCTATTCTGTTGTCTGTTTACCTCCTACTCCTAACCACAGGGGGTGAATCGTGATGTTTCCTTCACTGCTGTATCTACTCCTAGTACCCAGAACGGTGCCTGGCACAGAGAAGGTGCTTGATAAGTAGCTGCTGAATAAATGAACGATGAATGTGTATGCCAATTAGAAATCACCTGAATTATCAGGCACTTAAAATAAATCACAATGTCAGAGAACATTTTTGCCCGCTAAAACATCCTCCTAAAATCTCACAATATTAATCAAAGCACTGTCATCTGCTTATTTTGTTACCAATAATAAATTTTATTTCCAGTCTTTTCGAACTGATCATAAGACTGAATGAGGTCTGAGTTAAGGAGGTTTGACTATAACTGTTATGTAATGATAAAACAATTGACTCAGCCACAATGAGGAAGGTACCTACATGGCGGGGGGGAGACATAAACATAATACTAGTATTCCTCAGACTAAATCTGCTATTACCTATTAGTCACCACATGTCTGGTCTCTCAGGAAGTGAGGATGGGAAGTAGCTTTCCTCATAGAAAAACCCAAAGAATTGCGGCCTGTTTCCTAATATGTACCTGTACATAGTCCTAGGATTCCCTACTCAACTCCTGAACCTCACATTCTTCAACAATGCCTCTTGCCCTAGAACCAAAGTCCTCCTTAAAGAAAGACACTAGTGAAGAGCAGAAATTCAGAGAATAGGAGAAGCAGAGAAGAAATTCAGCATCTGCAGGGAAGGATGGGTTGGCATTCAAACCCTCTTTGTGCCATTGGTGGTACATGCTTGGGGATGTGGGAAGAGGAGGTGAGAGCTGATTTTATTGGCACAGTTGTCACTTGCCACCCTCAGGAATTTCTGGCGCCAATGCTAAGCAATGCAAGTTGGTGAAATACACTTATATATGCCCTGAAGCCAGGTACGCTCAGCCACACTGACAAAGAGAGCCTGCAGCAGAAGGAGAGCCTTCTCTCCAGGAGGGTCAGGGACAAGGGCAGTTCCCGTGGAGGAACGGAAGTGAGGACATGCACCAGGCTAACCGCCTCTGACGAGCACTGCAACGGGCTCACCCAGAAGGCAGGCAGGAGGCTAGACTGGAGTTTGGGAGACTGGGGTCCTTCCTGGCCTTGTCACTTCTTCACTTCCTTGGGCCTCAGTCTCCTCATCTGAAAGGTGGTGAGAGGGTTAGCTAGCTCTCTGATGTCCTGTTTTAGTACTAAAAGTTTAGTGTCTGTGTTCTGCTAGTTTTGGCAAAAGCCACATCTGAAATGAGTAAACTATTCCTCAGTTTATCCCCATTCCCCTTTATTTAGCAGTTCTAATACACTTAAAATACTTTAAAAATGTACTACATATGAAAATTTGTAATCTTCCTAGGGACTTATTCTAACCGAATTATTTTGACCAAGTAAAATGCAGGGAACAGTGCCACAAATCTGCAGCTTATCTGAAGAACAAACCAAGCTTCATCGGGCCAAATCTGCTAAATCATAACAAGTATTTGCTTCTCTAAAACCTTTAACCTGTTGTATAATATATCTGGAATACCAGTGAGTATGACCTTGTGTATAAAGTCCAAAATCAGGTTACCATTGAAGACATCTGTTTGTGAGATTCGTGAATCTCAAGTGCTGTGCTAAAGCAACTCGATCTTACTCTCTCTTTTTTTTTTGTGAGGAAGATCAGCCCTGAGCTAACATCTGATGCCAATCCTCCTGTTTTTTTTGCTGAGGAAGACTGGCCCTGAGCTAACATCTGTGCCCATCTTCCTCCACTTTATATGGGACGCCACCACAGCATGGCTTGACAAGCAGTGCGTCAGTGCACGCCCGGGATCTGAACCTGCAAACTCCAGGCCGCCAAAGCAGAGCGTGTGCACCTAACCCCTGCACCACTAGGCCGGCCCTTGATCTTACTCTCTTTTCCCCTTGTTTCATCTTAGCAGCCAGGTGGAAGTAGACTTAGGTACTGCTGATAAAATGATTCCTAAAGCCTTTCTGCACTGTTCTAGTAGTTCTATATAGGCCAAATTTTGTGCTGTTCTGTGACTACAGAACAATAGGTCATTTGCTGAAGGTGGTAGTTTCAAATATTAAGGCCTGGTCTAGCAATCCTTCCATGGTTTCCTTTTCAAGGCTTCAGGCTAAAAGGCAGGCTGGGCAATGTGGACACATGCCTTGGTCCTCCGTGCACAGGGCTACAGACAACAGTCCCAAGTGAAGACACTCAAACAAGTGTGTATGCAGGGTACCCACCTTTACCAGTGCTGGCCCAGGCTTTGCTGAGGACACAGTGTTTGTGGGGAGGACAGGAGCTGTGGACCTTGTAGGGGGCTGATCCGTAGTAGGAGTTTTCAAGAATTCAGGAACTGCTGGGGACACTGAAGTAAACTGGTGGAAAAATCAGAAAGGGAACAAGTCTGTGAAATCAGTAACAGAAAAAATAGACAAACCAGAATTATAAGGGAATGACCTCATTTTTTTAAAAGTCCACTAGAAAAGAAACAAAGAAAAATATACTATTATATCTGAGATCCAGATGGTAGAATAACATGCTTTACCTCTGTGGAGCCAACTATTTAGTCTTTGCCCCAACAGCAATGAAAAGCTAAAGCTAAATAAGGTTAGATTGACTCAACTGTAGTTTTTTCTCAGAAATATGGTTAGAACTGTCCTTTTTGGCAGAAAAAAAATCCGAGACTCTTGTAAAAATGATCAAAATGAGACATGGTATTCATAAGATGTTCTTGCCGCAGAGGTCACACTAATCTGGCTAATCAGATGTGACATTTAGTCTTCAGCACAGGCCCAATGAGCCCCTCTCCCACACTCCAGACCCACAGCCGGGCACGTCTGGCGAGAAGCTTCCACTTCCTGGAGGCCCACTCCAGCAGGCGTCCTTAACTGTGCTTTACAGCTTCTGTTCCTGTCTCCAGACCTGACTGGCACTCTCTTTCACCATCTCCCCCGTTTCTTGCAACAGGAGAAAATTTGAAGAATACATTCTGATAAGACTGACCTGTTTCATTGACAGTACCCTCACACTTGCTTTAAAGCAAGAAGCTAATTTGTTACCTAGGCCAAAATAAGCAATTACTGAATCTCAATTTGGAGTCACATATTAATGAAGGAAGCTACAGAAGACTTTGTCAGGTTTTTTATCAAGTCCCACTAGCAATCTACTTTAAGTAGATTTTAAGTATTCATTTACTGGAAAGAGATATTATTATTATAATAAATCAGCTAACTGTTGCATATTGATTACTACTAGGACTTACTATTACTAGCTTTATTTTAAGGAAAAATGTCTTCCTTTTTTACTTCCACTTCCTGGAACAACTCTCAAATTCATTACAACAATCAAAATCAACTCTCTTGTTGAAGTTATTTGGGTTTAAAAATAGCAAACCGTATTTTCCCTCTTAAAATAAATGACCTGAAAACTCAGAGGGCTATCAGCAGCAAGAAATATGAAGCTTGGTGCATACTAGTTACTCAATGAATATCTGTTAATGAGTGAATGGAAATTCCTTGTGGCTTTACTCACGCTAGGTCACACTCTCAAGCCCAACTGAGATTCTATGTGTGTGAGTGTGCAATTAATTGTGCATGCTCATGTCGGTGCCCTCTTTAAGGTTTGTTTTCATTGTGCCATTGATTTCAGCTTTTAAGTAATTATTAGTAAGTGTTGACAACATAAAAACTTGACTTTTTAAAGATAGCTATACTCAATTTCATTTTCAAACAGAAATGAAAGGAAAGGACTTATCCAAGAGTCTTGACACCTCTGTTCCAGGCTGACTTCTGCCCCCAAATGGCCCTGAGAGAGCTGGCCATGAGCCTCTGATATGAAGTGAGAGAAGATGGCCAGCTGATCACTGCTTTAAGGGATATGGTTTTATGTTATTTGTTTTCCTTTCACTTTGCACATTTTTTAGAACTGAGGATACTTATCTCTGGATCAATTTTCACACAGGGGAAAAACATTCCTTGGCTACTAAATAATAGGCAGATGAAGGAGCATAAGACATTCGAATTTTGATATATATATATATATATGTATTTCCTTGCAGATAAATTCTCCTAGCCTGGCAAGCTGTTTTACCCCACTGATTGACAGTAACGATGCATTTGACAGAGTCAGTGTTAATAATTTGAAAAATAACCGAGGAGCATGAATGTGGTATCAAGTGTAATATTTATGAAAATGTTTTGCCTATATTTCTAGACTCTGCCTAATTGACTTTGGCCTTGATTACTCACACTCTCATCTTATTAGCTCTTTTGGTATCTTGGTGTGACTTTGCTAACCTAGAAAACCACTCCACCATAACCCGAAAATAACTCAGCTGAGATACAGTGATTGTTAACTTTACCTAATCTGAAGATAAATTCTGGTTGAAAAGGGAGAACTATCCAAACTCTGCTTTATCTTTTGGCAATCTTTTTTATGTGCCTTAGAAAGGACCTCCCTCCCCTCCAAAATCTTAGATCACATCTAGATGTTAGGATCCTAGCTGCTAGTTACCAAAAAAATCTAAACATTAGTATTTCTGAAATTACAGTATTCCAAAAAGGATTAAAAGAATAGCCAAGCTATAAAGGATACTACACATATTCCGTTCCACAGTAAATTGAGCAATATGTTAAAATCTTAAAAGAATGCTTGAAATATGTTTAAATTGCCACTGAGGCCTAACTAAGTTCACCTTATGTACCTATGAGACTATTCTAGGTACTTCACGTAAGTGGAATCATATAACTTTTTTCCTTTTGTGGCTGGCTTATTTCACTTGGCATAATGTCCTCAAGGTTCCTCCATGTTGTAGTGTGTGTCAAAATTTCTTTGATTTTGTTGTTGTGTAAACATCATAGGGTATACTTATAAAAACCTAGGTGATATAGCCTACTATACACCTGGGCTATCTGCCACTAATCTTATGGGACCACCGTTGTATATGTGGTCTGTTGTTGACAAAAATGTTGTTATTTTGTACATGACTGTATTTTGTTTATCTATTCATTTGTCAACAGGCACTTGGGTTGCTTCTACCTTTTGGCTGTTGTGAATAATGTTGCTATCAACACGGGTATACAAATACCTGTCCAGGTCCCTGCTTTCAACTCTTTTGGGCACATATCCAGAAATGGAATGGCTGGATCATATGATAATTCTATTTTTAAGTTTTTGAGGAAGTACCATACCATTTTCTACAGTGGTTGCACCATTTCACAATCCCACCAACAGTGTACAAGGGTTCCAATTTCTCCACATCCTTGCCAACACTTGTTAATTTCTGTTCTTTTGCTAGCTGCCATTCTAATAGTGTGAGGTGATATCTTGTTATGGTTTTGATTTGCGTTTCTCTGGTGACTAGTGATGTTGAGCATCTTTTCATGTGCTTCTTAGCCATTTGTTTATCTTTGGAGAAATGTCTATTCTAGTCCTTTGGCCACTTTTTAATCAGGTTGTTTTTTTTTGTTGTTGAGTTGTGGGAGTTCTTTATATATTCCAGATATTAATCCCTTATCAGATATATGATTTGAAAATATCTTCTCCCATTCTGTGGGTTGCTTTCCACACTGTTGATAGTGTCTCCTTTGATGCACAGAAGTTTTTAATTTTGATGAAACCTAATTATTTATTTTTTCTTTTCTTCTGTTGCCTTAGTTCTGATCATGCCACGCTGGGAAGAAGGGTGGGCAAGGGTGAATAAAATGCCATGACATTTTCTACTTTTTGAATGTGGATTTCTTTCTTTCTTTCTTTTTTTGTGAGGAAGATCCGCCCTGAGCTAACATCCATGCCGATCCTCCTCCTTTTTGTTTTTTTCCGAAGCCCCAGCCGACAGTTGCATGTCACAGCTGCACATCCCTCCAGCCGCTGCATGTGGGATGCAGCCTCAGCATGGCTGGAGAAGCGGTGCCTCGGTGCGCGCCCAGATCCGAACCCCGGCCGCCAGTAGCGGAGCGCGCGCACTCAACTGCCAAGCCACGGGGCCGGCCCATGAATGTGGCTTTTTCTTCATGGGGCGTATGCTTGGTTGGTGTAGATCTCTGACTGGTTCCCAGAGCTCTTATAAAGTTATTTTAGTCAGTCTGTAGTTTATTTAATGTTTCTGTGGGAGAATGGGGGCCTGGACCTTCCTATTCTGCCATATTGTTGACGTGCATTATCTTTTATAGTGAGATTTTCTATCACTTGGGAGACAGTGTTAACCATGCAAATATATGCACAAAAATCTCAAATGTGAGTTTATTTATTTAGTACTTCTAATTTCTAATAGTTCAAGTATAGCCAATACTATAACTACTAAAATAATGCCATAAAGCAGAAGGGTGACTAGCCAGGTAGAGTACCAAGCCTACTCTAATCATTAATGAATCTCTTACTTTTGGTGTTAACTTCATAGAAGGATCAACATAAAATTTCACTAATACATTAGATCAACTTTGGAAATCCTAGAGCCAATGTCCACCCTATTTAAATACAGTCCTCTTTATAAAGTTGTCACATACTACTTATTATATTCTCCAGAATCATGCAGAATATCTATTACAACTTTGGTGTGACCATGTTGGTGATTCACAAGTTAGTCAAAGTGACCGTTAGGGGCTAGAATATGGAGGCATAATAAGTATTAGAATTATCATTATTCATTTTTGGTAACTGAGTTATGATACTTGAGTAGAATATATAGTTGAGGAAATAATGTTATGTATGTATTTCTTAAGTAATACAAATAACAGTTGTCACTATGAGTCACAACAGGATGATACAAGATGATGAGTTGGAAAATAGTCTTAAGAAGAATCTCAAACTGTTGGCCTAATAAGAACAAAGTCATTAGTTCCAATCCTGTGCGGGCCAGATGGATGTGCTCTTTTCTCACGACATCTGCCCTAGGTAATACACATAAAGCAAGCAGCTCAGTGCCTGGCTGAAGTAAGTGCTCAGCAAATGCTGGCCATTATTTTTTATCATCTCAATTATATTTAATAAACATTTATTTATAAATAAATAGGAAAGGCTTATTCTGCATAATGCACTGTTTTAGGCACTTCCCTACCGGTCACAGGAGAACTGAGTTAAGAATTGGGATGGAATGTAACTTCACAGTTAATGCTGGAAACCAACCCAAAATCTAAGTATTAATAGTGGCCGAGTCCTCTTGATATATATGTTATAAAAAGCATAACTGAAGGGGTAACAATAGAAATTACAGTAAAAATATTTGATGCCCCATTCAAGCTTTTATTGATAAGTATTTGTAATAAAAGTTAGTCTAATTTTTATTATTTAATATATGCGTACATGGCTTACCTATTAGACCTTGCTCTTTCTCTTTGTTAGCTTAAACCTATGGTTTCTGTATTATTTGGCAAAAGGT